AGATGACACATATCACCAATCAAGAGGGGTACCGGAGGAACTGGAGGAAAGAGTTATTGGAGGGGAGTCGGATCCTGTACATAGTAAAAATTTAGATAGCCAACTAACTAAGCTATTAGTTATTCTCCAATTAATTTTTTAAACGTATTGGCTTAGGGATTGTTTCTTACAAAAGGAACCAACTGATTTTGCATTATTTACACAATCTCAATACTAAAATATAATGAACCTACAAGATTTTTCCTCAACTATGATTGGTTTGTCGATTACCCCATTAATAAAAAACCCTTTATCATTATAGAAGCCATAATTCAAAGAGTTTTGTTTTATAACCATTAAACCAATAATCTATTACTGATAAATCAATAACATTTTCTTCAATTTGAATTATTGATTTTATTTCAAATTTAAACAACCTTAGTATGTGATCTGACCTAAGAATATACATAGATACCAATAACATTCGTGGCTTGCTATGGGAGATTATAATGATTGGTAGTAGAATATATATATAAAAGTAAATAATATGAGATTTTAAGCTTAAAACGTTACGAGTGAAAAAAGAGAATACAAAAACTATTAGGGGTGTCAGGGTAATTTCCTTAAATAGTAAAATGAAGCAAGTGTGATCCATCAGAATACACTTAAAAACATAATTTCCCACCCAAAAGTTGTAAACCATAACCGCCATATCTTACAGAATTTGCAGTTTGCAGTTGAGCTTCATCAGCCTTCCAAAATCCACCATTGAAGATGAGCACTCCAATTGAAGAAGTTTCTGCTCATCTAAAAGAATTCAACTACGAGGATTGGATTTCAGAGTTATCTAAACTGACGGAAATGGGTCTACAGTTTTGGCAACCAGCATTTCCCGTCAAGTAAACAACAGAGGATCTCTGACATCGAGCATCAAGTTTGTTTGTGCATCGAAGTTCTCGAATCAGTTCCTCAAGGTATGGATTATCCAGAAGAAGAAAAAAAAACTCATTCAATTTAATTTATCAAGTGAGTTTAAGTGGTACGAATTCGTGCAGAGAAGAGGGAATTAAATCATGAACGTGCAATATTCGAGTATCTAAAAGGAAGGTTTTATAATGCAATTCCTGATGTTTATAAGGAGGAAGCAGAGCGTCATCTCGTGAATGCTGTAAGTGAAAGAAGGATTGCATATTTAGTGTGTTGAATTTGCGTTTGGTTTCCTTCTTACTGTGTCTTCATTTTATCTACCAGACTCGATTAAATCCGCGTTTGCGGGATGCTTGGCATTGCCTCGGCAGTTGCTTTGTCAAGAAAGGGCATATACATAGAGCTAAAAGATGCTATCAGACTGTCCTTGAAATGGTTATAATTCGCTGCGTCTTTAGTACTTAAGTTTTCCATTATCTAAACTTCAAACGCTCCCTTCATTTAACGGATTCTTCATCTTTTATTTGATTTAGGGTGAAGAAAGTAGCATAATTTTACATAAACTTGCAGACCTTGAACTGAAGTTTGCACGAGGTGAATGTAATTCTTTTGTTTATTTCAATCCAGTTCTCATGGTCAGTGTATTTTTCCCATTATTTTTTTCTCTACAGCTGTTTTTATGGACTGGAAGCTCTGTCTTTGAAGTTCTAATTCCATCCCTAATTAGATACTTTACATATTTTTGTTAGTCTGGGATTCTGATTTTTAATTGAATATGATTTCTACAATTTTCAGTTTAGAATCTTCATTTAACAAATCAAAGCAAATGTATAATACATTTCTCCAGTCTCTTATTAAGTTAATAATAGTTACTCAGGGAGAAAATTCAGAAATCTATATTTGCTTTTTTTTCTTAATGGCTGCTGCTGATCTATTCATCTGATTGTATATCTATTTCATAGTTTCTGAAAATCCAGCCAAGCACATTGAACAAAGCATCAAATATGCCCAAAGGATGCTCGTTCTGGATGACAAGGATGGAATTTGTTTATGTAAGACTGCAAACAGAATCTAGTTAAAAGAGGAACTACTTTAAATTTTAGTCACTTACCTCTGAGATTCTCTGATATTGTGTCATAAACATTCTGTGCTTCGGCACTCTCAGCTTTGCCAATTTGCTAAATGTTTACTTGGTGTTTGTCAATGATTGTCTTCACCCTTCACATATTGTTTAGCTATAGTTAAGAAATAACAATTAAGACAGATTAAGGTGCAGAAATTATATACTTTGGTACATGGAACCATGAAGTACCATATGCGCGGTACGTGGAATTTTATAAAGTGTATGTTATACTTATGAAAACATCCAAGTGTCCTGCTTTACTATAAAGTGTATGTTATACTTAGATCTTTAACTAGTATCTGCACACAGTTTTAGATATAATAAACATTTTGATAAATCCAATTTTCAACTCCTTCACTGAACTTCATTTGGTTGGTAGATATATTAGGATGTGCACATTTCACTTCCTTTCTTCTGACTGGAGGACGGGATCACAATAATCTTCAACTGGCATTAGAGGCATACGAAAAAGCTGTAAGTAGTTCTTACAATCTTGTCTCTGTATATTTATTTCCCCTTATTTTAACATGAAATATATGTGTACAGTATTAACTCCCCGCGAACCTGGTTATTTTAGATACTTGGAAGTTTCTTATGATTTCCTACCCTATTTCAGAAAAAAATTGTTGCATCGAAGGCAAACCCACATCTTGAATACGACTGTAGCATGGTAAGTTGTTAAAAAACAACAACTGATTTTCACTTATGAACTGTTGTATCATATATAGGATCTTTCAAAACACAAGGTTCTCAATTGTTGCTAATTATCACCTCGTACTTTTATGATGGTGTTCTTAAAGAACAAGAGTTAGAAAAACTAAAAATAAAGAAAAAGAAACAAAGACAAGAGACCATGTATCAAGTTGTACACTGCACAGTGCAGCAAGGAAAGGATATAAGTTTGCAACTTCTTGTGTGGATCACAGATAGACCTTCTTTCATCATCTTAAAGGTTGCAGAGAATGCCTCTAAATAAGCTTGGCTCTCTCAGAGTTTGAATAAAACCATAAAATAGAAGCATTCTCTCATAAAATAGGACATGTACACAGGTTGTACTTGAAAGTTGAAACACACATGAGGATACAGGTTATAATATGACAAGGAAGCACTGTCAACTTTACAGAGAAAAAGAAAGTCGTACGTGAAAACAGAATCTGATAATAACTCATTGAATTAGTTACCTCTTTCTGGTAGTTAAGCATCCTGTCTGACTATTACAAGTGTTTATATAGAGAATTGAGTTTGGTACGAAAAGATCAGTAAATGACTATTACAAGATCTGCAGATATCAGTGACTTGTTGAATTGTGTTTGGTACGAAATAATCTATCTAGAAGAACAAGAGTGTATAGAGAAGTACAACTTCGAATTAGAAAAACAGTCTGATTTAAAAGAATTGGCTTCAGCAAGCTTGAAAGTTTTATGCTTAGTGAAGAAAGAACCAATAGTCTCTAAAAAACCTCACTCTTATTCATCTTCAAATTCTATGTTTGCATATATCATGATATCTTAAATATAGACTTCACTTTCCCCCTTTCTAAAATTCAATGCCATGTCGGGAAAATTTGATATTTGTTTTCTCAGGTGAATAGATATCTGGAGAACTACAAGATGTCGCTAATTGGATTTTCAGATGCTGCATCAATGAATCCTACTAGTGATGCTTTACATCAAATGAAACTGACGCTCCAGCTTCTTGACAAATTAGAAGGATTACTTCAGGTAAGATTACGACATTATGGTTATTTTATATAAAGCATCCATAAGTGATATTATAATCCATTGCATTAAGAACGCCTTAGTTGATGACATTAGAATCAAGGGAAATAAGAATGATCAAAGGTTCATTGTTTCCAGCATATATGCAAATGCAGGTCAGTGATAACTACTTACAAGAGGTATTCAAGGAGTCACACTCCCTTCAATTGCTCATCTGACCTGTCCAACTCCCAACATGTCACAGTGGAGTGGTTTGATGTGTTCACACATACCTGTCACTAGTACGGAACTCTGACCTGTTTAAACACTGATTTCATTGTCAGAGTTACCAAGGAAAGCTTTCCGTTTCCTGCTATAACATAATGTATGATGAGGTAGTCCTTTAAGATAGCTTCCGAGATAACCAGTCAATATCTACAAAGTTCTGCTCTGACAACCTTTAGGTAACAAGTACTAATGATAGCTAGGTGGGGACATATATAAACATGAAATTGGGTTTTATGGTATGACAGGAAAAATACCAAAACTTAGTCATGCTTTTCTATGATTTCTCAAAATTGTCTTAATGTGTAGGTTTGAGGCACAGCTGATGGATGAATCTTGGAATATAGCCAAACAAGTAGAGGCTAAGAAACTACGATAGGCAGAAAAGATTATGTGGAATTAAGAGTTGTTCGGATAGAAATATTCTAGTTGGTTGCTAAGTTAGCAACACTATTTGTATTAACTTGGTAACTCTACTATGGCTACCCTAGAAACCTTGGTTAAGTTTCTCCTACTCGGCGAATTTTTTTCTGAATCCTTTTCACTTACTACAACAATAGTAACATGCTCAGTGAAATCCCACTAAGTGGCGTCTAGGGAGGGTAGAGTGTACGCAGACCTTACCACTACAAATAGTTGCAAAAGGTACTCATTAAGCATTAGAAGTATCTAAAAGAAAAGGAGATGAGGTACTGACTGATGCTTGTGTCCTTAAATAGTCCAATTTAATTGTTCAATGAGTTAATTGAGCCCTTCCTGTATTGACTGAACGGTGCCTGGGGTAATATTTTAGTTGTTTCTTCTTTTTTCATTTCTTGATTTTTTTCAAGAAACAGGAAAGTTATGATGTAGTCTTTAAAATATAATGTCTTAAGATTCTCAGTTGTTAAATGCTTTCTTCTTTTAAAGGTGTTAAGACATTATGAATGAGCTTGTAAAAGATGCATTTAAATTATGTGATCCTGCTTTTCAGTGTAAGCGTAATGACAAGAATAAAGGGAAGAGTAAGGGAAAGAGTACGGAAACAAACTTGCTTGCCCTGATCGAATCACTTGCTAATATTGATCGTAAGGCTTTACATTCTTCTTAGATATTGAACTGTAAACAATGAGGTATATGATTTACCTATTTATCTATTAGTTGAGGTAATAGAGTGCTTTCTGGCAGTGAATCCTCTGTACAACAGAGCAACCATGGATCTCTGAGCTGAAGGCCCTAACAAACGGATTGCAGTTATAGCGGCAGTATGGTGCTTAGTTAAATATGAGTATAAAGCTCCAGTGTAAGTTACTTCATTTTCTTAACTGAAGGCCCTAACACACGAGTTGATCATTTTCAGCATTTCCTTTACAAGTGAAAGTTACTTGTCTGTGCAGCCCTACTTTATGCTTAAATACTTATTTCTCAATGTGTACTCTTATTCTACAGATACTATATGCTCTGTGACTCTGATGAGAATAGTTTTGTACTTATAGCGTTCGGCATACTGAAGGAAGCAGTAAGCACTACTTTATGCTGTTTTAATGTTTCTTGGTACACTTATCCATTAAGATCTTAATTCCTAGAAAAAAGTGGTCTAGTGAAGTAGAGTATCTTAGAGAAACTGAGATAAGAAAATCAACAAATTAATTTCAGGTATTGACACGTTAGTTTGCTGCTAAACTGCTGCAGCACGAAGTGCCTTAAAAATAAGCGAAGGATCTTTCCTCCCTTTTGTCACTTCCTGGATGAAAAATTAGATGAAAGGGAGGCACCTTACTTCTTTAATAAGTAGCCAAATACTAAAGATAAAAAGAGAGAATAGTAAAGTGAGTTAGCATTTCAAAAGATTTCTGTAAATTGGAATAGTTTGTTTCCTATATCATTTTATCGAACGCCATTTTTATATTGATTTTCTCATTCGTCCACACTTCAAGAAAAGAATATTTCATTTGCCGCTTCAATAATCCATAAGTGAGCCTGAATATCTCTTTGTAATGGTGATCATCTCATTCAAAATCAGTGGTGATCATCTCATTCACAATCTGATTTTCCCCACCAAATTATTATTTAGTGAATAAATGTCATATATTTGAATATTTATCCTACTTCAGATTTTCCTGATGACATATAGCCTACCATATTCCTACTAAAATGGAATAAGAAGATGAAAATAATATAAACGAAGCTTCTTTTAGGAAACACATGCTCTATGAAAAGTTGATACTGCAAGCATTTCGGATCCAACTGCCGATTAGATTTTCACATCATTACCTAACAAACTACTCTTGTTGACAGATTAAACAAGGAGATCAGGTCACAGTATTGGAGCCCATTTGCAAATTTATTGATTTTGAATGGGAAGGAAAGGTAAGCACCACATATTAGTTTATATCCCTTTATTTCAGGTATTGACTCCACCTTATAACACTTCAGGGCAGGGTGGACTTGAGCCTCTAGCAGTGGTAATTTGGTGTCAATGGTTTGGAAAAATTGACAAGTTACTACCAATAGGGAGTTAATCTGGTCACTTTTCTTGGTTGTAACTGATTGGAAGTCATTTCTTGCTATTGCTGAAGTCATGTCAATCATTTGCCTTGCTCGTGTGATTTATAATAATCTGACAGCCAAATTTTGTCACTTCTCACTAACTAATATATTGTTATTTTTACTGCAGCACTATCAATTCAAGTCTGTGCGAGTTAATCTTCTGGAATAAGTCCTTGTAAATGGAAATGCCCTGCCTCCTAATTCTGTCATTCGTGAACCAATATCATACCCATAACTGAGGGCAAAATACTCTTGTCTATTACATGCAGATGTGTGAACTTGTAATGAGATAAAATCTACCGCCCGTGAATTTTTTTTTTCAATTGACATTTGACATATTGTGTTCACTTTGTAGTGATTAGGTTTTGATTAGTGATTAATTTTGATGATTTCTTGCGCATAAGCTCCTGAAATTGTGGGTACACTAATTTCGTTGTCAGTTTACTATTTTGACCTTGCTGGCTCAGTATTGACTTTTTGAGTTTGGGATAAAAATATAACAATATGAGTGTCTATAGATTCATATGGTTACGCATTTGATCAGATTAGAATCACTAGGAGGCATCGTGGAAGGCCAGGTTGATAATTTGACTATTAAGTCTTTAATTAAGGCAAGTTGAGACTTTCTTGACTCTTATGAAGTGCTAGTCAAGAATAAACCGGAAATACAAAAGGAATGTCACTTTAAACCTATTGAGAAGAACAATGAACACCTTTCAAATATAAATACAACACCTATACCTAAATTGATTTCACTCTAGTCTATTGAGAATACAATGAGTAGAAAACTGATCACAAGGAAAACAAATGGAAAATATTTTGCATTAATTATCAAGTAATTAGCATAAAAAAAATCAAGTTTTACTAAATGCAATATAATCTACCACTTCAGATTAAGTGTTCCAAGTACCGAATGTTGAGAAGATTAATTGAAAGTAGAAAATAGCAAACATAACATTTAATCGACAATTTTTAGCAATATCTTCAAAGTACCTTAAATGAAAAAAAAAAATGATGAAACACGAAAACAAACAGTGAACTTGTTGTTTGCGATAAATTTTAATCTGATAGAAAATAAATTGCAATTACAAATAAATATGAAGAAACATAACTTTATTGATCAATATGGAGGTATAATTATGTTCCTCCCTTGATTCCTCTCTCATAAGATTTATCCATTTGAAGAGTTGTTAGTGGCGTATTTCTCGAATTCGAATTATTAATTTTGATCTAAATATTCCATGAATTTGTGGAATATTCGAGATGGCTTTTCAAGGAAATTTAGTACCCTTAATATAGGCATGAATTAGGCTATTGGAAAAATCTTAACTGGAATCGAATACTGTTGGGTTTTAAAAGGTGTGAATGGAAAATGAAGAGTTGCGACTTCTATGAAGAGTTGTGATTTTTATGAAAAGTTGCGACTTTTATGAAGAGTTGTGACTTTTATGAAGAGTTGTGACTTTTATGAAAAGTTGCGACTTTTATGAAGAGTTGTGATTATGAAAAGTTGCGACTTTTATGAAGAGTTGTGACTTTTATGAAAAGTTGTGACTTTTATGAAAAGTTGTGACTTTTATGAAATGTTGTGACCTTTCTGAAAGATTGTGACTTTTCCAAAGGTTTGTGACCTTTCTGGTAAGGCACAATAAGAATGTCACGCCCCGAGCCTACACCCTGGGCGGGACCGGCACCCGGAGACCATTTCTGGCCCCAAGCGAACCCTTGGCCTGGCTTTCTTAACTCAGCGGAAACCTCAACAGAATAACTCAATGCAATGCAATATTACAAAACAACTTAACTTAACATGAAACTCTTAACTTTTGACTTGACTTGAAACTCAATACTTAACTTGGAACTTGAGCCTTAGAATGAAGTTAAAACGTTCAATGAAGACTCTTGGAAAACCTTAAAGACTTGCTTTGACTTACTTACTTCTAAGCTTGACTTCACTTGACTTGGAAACTAACTTCACTTGAATTGGAAACTAACTTCACTTGACTTGGAAACTAACTTCACTTGACTTGTAGTTTTACTTGACTTTTGGAAGTACCTTGGAGTGTTGGAAACAACTAGGAAACATAGGTATAATACCTAGGAACATGTATGAAAAAAAAAATGGTGAATGAAAGGGAAGGATTGGTGTCCTTGGCACTAGGAGAGGTGCAACAGCCCAGCCCCTTTTTCCCCAAAAATCCGACTTTTTCCCCTTGTTTCTTTCCAATTCTAAACCCTCTCAACCTCAAGGTTTCAGCAGCAACACTTAGAATCATAAAGACCCTTATTATACAATAGATTCAACTCAAAAATCACAGCCAGAAATCTGTACTAAATCAGCAAGAACTTCAACACAACACCACTACAACTTCAACAACCAATAAATCTTCTCTTGAAATTAAAAACGAGTTGGTGTGTGGGGGTATGAACCAACCAACACTAAGGATCATTAATCTCTCAACATACAATAGATCACAACTCAAATACACAGCCCAATCCTGTCCCACAACCAACAATAACTTCAACAACACAACTAACAACATCAACCACAACTAACAACTTCAACAACAAATCCAATCTCTTCTCAAATCATAAAAACGAGCTTGGTATGTGGGGGGAAAGGATAAACCCACACTAAAGACTCACATACCTTGATAGGGATCACCCCCGACGAAAATCCACAATGATCTTGACAAATCTTGTTGATCTCCTCTTTCTTCTCTTCTTCTTCTCCTTCTTCTCTTCTTCTTCTCTTGAACCCTAACTCTTTCTCTTTCAAAATGGGACAAAATGATCCAAATATCAGCCTAATACAACAATATAAGCTCAAAAGAAATGATTTGTGAAAAGACTAAAATGCCCTTAAATTTCCGGAACGGAATCCTTGCCAACTGCCCAACTTTCAAAGATCATAACTCGCTCATACGAACTCGGAATCGAGCAAAATCAGTGGCGTTGGAAAGATCGTTCCACAAGCTTCGAAACCATAACTGGAAATACTCCTAACTCATCCTGAGCTAGGAGTTATGACTGCTCAAAGTTGGCCAAAAACTCACTGATTTCCACACTTAGCCAAATTTCCAGATTTTAAATTTTTCAAAAAAATGACTATTTCCAAATTTCAAGCTTCTTCATATTCATTTTTAAATTGTCGGATGTTACAAAGAACCTTTTCAAACTACCCTTTGTTTTCTATAAATTGAGGGATTTCCTCTCATTTTAGTTGAGCCAATATCTGGACTTCTTCTTCTACTACTACATCTAGTATTCTAAGTGTACTTTACTGCCGTTGAGTGGCTCGCTGACACCAGCGTTTTGGGTATCAATACACTGGTGATTGAGATCATTCTATCCTGGGAGGACATATTCCAAATCAAACCTCGGATACTAGAGGGGAATAATTTCCTTAAGGGGATACTGTGCATTCAGTGGGCTTGATCTTCTTTCTGTTTTTCCAGATTCTGGTATGTGTTACAGATTTTAGATTTGTGAATTAATTTATGTTCTTCTGTTCTTCACTGGTTCATTAAACTTTGGTAACTTCATGTTTCTACAAAGTTTGTTGGAATCAGTAAGATTCTTTAAACACAGATTGACAACAATTCTTCTTTAAGAAAAAATATTTCGTATATTTTTTCTAATCTGTTTCTGATTCTAGTTTCTCTACTAGTTTTAATTTTCTAGTTGTGAAAATGTTCTTAAACTTTATTGTGTCTTACCAAGTTCTTCAAAGTTTTGTTCTAAGTATCTTAGGAATACAAGATGAACAACAATCTTAAGGAAATTATTATACTGTTGGTATTTCTTGTATTCTACTGATTGAGAGAAATAGATCATGTAAGTAGAAGATTAATGCATTACTTCTCCAGAATTCGGTACTTTGTTTAGCAAGGTCGAAGTGAGAATGTACAAAATTTTTTTTCGGTGCTATTCCGGTTAAAGATTACACCAGGTAACCTTCTTATTATTTATCCAAGGAGGAAAATAGTTTCTAAGAGTTAACAAATTTGATTTTTTTATCATGTCTATCTTTGGAAAAAGATCTGCAAACCATTTGTTGTGGAATGAATTTTTCTTGGCAAATAGTGTTGCCTTTAAAATTCTTTAGTTTGCAAAATGAGAGATGCACATTTTTTTTTGATTAAATAGTATGTCAAAATGTTATAGTTGGAAGACTATTTGAAAAGAAAACATTTCTATGATAAAGAATATGTTTATTTCTGTTTGGAGACTAAAAAAAAAAAAGTTTTGTACTCAATGTGAAATTTGATTGTGTATGATTTTTGTAAGCTAAAAACTTTTGTAGTTTACTACTCTGGATAAATCAGACTATACAATTGGTTTGAAAAATATGAAAACTTCACATAATAAGTCAATGTTGTACTTTTGACTTTCTATAAACTTCATTGTTATATAGAAATAAATTATACAAAATTTTGTCTTTATTGTTAGTATTCTAAATACTAAGTGGTATGTCTATTTGTGCTAGATGGAAAAATACCAGTGACTTAGAGTTTGTGATTTTGTGCCTCTATGGAATGTACTTTGACACTATGTAAAGATTGTCAGAGAGAATTGAAGCAATATAATTCTTTTTGTAGAATAATATTTCCAAAAGAGGTTTCATAGTGCCAATGACATTTTGATAGTCTGGGAAAATATGTGGAAAAACTATTTTCAACTACATGAAAAATATTTTTGAGATCACATTTAAAATGTGGGGGTTCTTTGCTTATCATAAAGATAAAATTAGACTTGGTGTCTAATTTAATTTTGGAGCAAAAGATATGAAATTCAATGATACTTTTGTATTATGTTAGACCCACAATATTCTTAGAGTCTATTTGATATTGTGGTTATTGAGTTTCTCTATTACTAGTATATGGTGTGACTAGTATGAAGCTACCAAATTCTATATATACTTGTTCAAAATAATTGTATTCTTTTATGAAAAAGTGTCACTTAAAATGTTGTGATTTTTCATGAAAAGATATGTCTATTATAATAAAAGTATTTGCATAGACATGAATATTGGTGAATACTAATTTGTTATGTTCTGTAAAAGAAACATTTAGACTATATTGCCTTTATTGGACCTGATGAAACTTTGTTCATGGGTAGTTCTATAACAATCAAATTGAAAGTTATGAAAAGTTCCTTCTGAAAAGGACAATTGACAAGGTGATGATGACTCTAAACAATGTTTGTATCACACAAAATTGTAAGAAATAAGAACAAAATATTAGTGAGGAAAAGCTACCTCGCGGAGAGCTTTTCGAACTCAATATTTTTAT